CTCATTGACTTCAATGCAGTAAACATAATTTAAATATGGTTTTATGGGTCTGAATATACTTGATGTAAAAACGAATTCTGAAGGCTTTTTTTGGTGGCGAGGGTGAATAGTGGTTACCTCTAAGACATAGGGTGACAAGTTCCTTTAGCAAAGTCTGCTGTCAGGGACCTTTCCAGAGTGCTAAAGAGCAATGATTAGTCTAGACACTAAGCTGTACTTGATCCAGGCCATGATCTTTGCAATTACTTTCTATGCATCAGAGAACTGGATAATGAATAAGGATGATCGAAGAAGAATTGATGCCTTTGAGTTGTGGTTCTGGAGAAGAGAACATACTATGGACTTCCAAGAGAACAAACAGGTCTGTCCTGGAGAAGGTGAAACCAACTTGCTCTCTGGAGGCAAGGATTTTGAAGCTCTGTTTCATATACTTTGGGCATGTTGCCAGGAGGGACCAGTCCTTGTATAAGGACATCGTACTTGGAAAAGTGGAAGCATACTTGGAAGTATCAAAAACATAGGCCACAGCAGGAGAGGAAAACCCTGAATGAGATGGATTGACAATAATGGGGTAATGGAGCAAGTATGTCAGAGACAGTGAGATTGACTCAAGATAGGAGAGGGTCGCTATGAGTTACAGGTGACCCAACAGCACATAACAACAATAACAACCCTGCTAACAGAGAGGCCATGAGAAGAGAGCTGTGACTAGAAACAGCTGGGGAGATGGCATCACTAATTCTGATACTAATAGTTAACCATTTACTAGGTACATACCATGTTTAAAACTGTGACATAAATTTTGCATACATTAGCACATTTAGTCATAAAAGCAAACAACCACAATTAAAAAAATTGTGTTAAGGAAATTGAAGTTCAGAGAGGTTAAACAGAACTTTTCTGGCACTGCACAGCTATGCCAGTGGAGCTGGGGTTTGCATGCATGTTTGCCTTTCTCTGCCATAGCCCATAGACCATTGGGTGTTTCCTCCACACATAGCATTTGGTGGCTCCTCACAATGTTGTAAAAATAATACTGCCATCCAACACTCTTCCCTATAGTGGTTGACCTGTTGTGTCTTTGCTTTTGCATCTAGATACCTGGCTATCGTGCACCCACTGAGACCACGGATGAAGTGTCAGACTGCCACTGGGCTTATTGTTCTGGTGTGGACTGTGTCGGTCCTCGTTGCCATCCCTTCGGCCTACTTTACCACTGAAACAGTCCTCCTCGCTGTCAAGAGCCAGGAGAAGATTTTCTGTGGTCAGATCTGGCCTGTGGACCAGCAGGTCTACTACAGATCCTACTTCCTTTTCATCTTCGGCATCGAATTTTTGGGCCCTGTGGTCACCATGACGCTGTGCTATGCTCGCATCTCCTGGGAGCTCTGGTTCAAGGCTGTCCCTGGCTTCCAGACGGAGCAGATCCGCAAGCGTCTGCGCTGCCGCCGAAAGACAGTCCTGGTGCTCATGTGCATCCTCATGGCCTACGTACTGTGCTTGGCGCCCTTATATGGCTTCACCATCGTGCGTGACTTCTTCCCCGCTGTGTTCGTGAAGGAGAGGCACTACCTCACTGCCTTCTACGTGGTTGAGTGTATCGCCATGAGCAACAGCATCATCAACACCCTGTGCTTCGTGACCGTCAAGAACAACACCATCAAGTACTTTAAGAAAATCGTACTGCTCCACTGGAAGTCTTCTTACAGTGGGAGTAAATGTAGTGCGGACCTTGACCTCAAAACTGTGGGTGTGCCTGCCACGGAAGAGGTGGACTGCATTAGACTAAAATAACCTCCAGGACTGTCCAGATTTTAAACCTAAAACCTGGTCTCTGAGATACCGACTGTTGTCTTTAGAAACATACGGCTCTCAGTTTGCTGTAGAAAGGCAGGGCAGACAACTCAGTGGACAAGATAATTTTGCTGTGATCAGATAGCATCATCTGTGGCTGATGTTTTTTGAGCATCTAATTTGTGCAGAAAGAAAGCACTAGTGAAACCTATATATGTTCATAATGTTCAATTTAAAATGAAGTAGGAATCAAACTAAGGGAAACTGTGGCAATAAAGTCTAGAATAAGTAGATTTCCAGAAGGGAACGCAAAGTGTAGGACTTGACGTGTATGGCGTGAGAGTTTCACTGAACCATCTCATCTACACACCAAACACTAGTCCAGCCCTTCTCTGGGATCATCCTTGGACTTGAGCTCACTCCTAGTATTGCAGAACTGGGACAAAAATCTAAACGATGCTTCCAGTTCTTCCTGGAACCCTCATCTTAGAGACTCTGACACATACACATAGTGACTCCAACATGTACAGCCAAGTTTTACTTCAAGGGTCTCTCTCCAACTTTACCCCATGAGCACCTCTCAAATCCATCAGAGTGTGTGAGACTATGTGAGCCATAACAAGCAGGACAGGTGTGGGGAAGAGGTCAGATAGATCCTGAAACAATTTAGAAGAGAATGATGGTGTTCTGAGTACTTGAAGTAAGTTTAGAAGAGAAAGCCTGTCCCTAGATGGGCATGTTCTCTTAGCCTCATGGACTTACTTACCCACTGGGAGGAGAACCAGAGCAGAAAATGGGGTTTCATGGTGGGTAGTGCTCAGAGAATCAGCTTAGGCTCCCCATGTCTAAGGGTGATCCTGCTTCCATTTCATTTATTCTCTACTAGACCAATTAGGCATCCCTGCAAGCTCATCCCTCCCTCTTCATGTATCATACTGTGAAGCCTTGAAGGCAGAGACCACAGCATTACATGGATGTGGAAATCAGTCATTTCCCCATCTTCACCAGCTCTCAAATGTGAGCAGGGAAAGAGCTCTGTCTTTACTAGTCAGCCTATTAGGGGAACCTGATTGGTAGGGCCCACTGGCCCTGAGGTCTGTTTTAGCTGTAAATAACTTAGTTATGACTTCCTTAGGAAACTCTGGTGTGGAGTCTATAGGCTGTTGTCCTGCTCACCCAGAGGCTGCTCCACTCTGATGGTCTGAATCCACCAGTGATCCGTTGGCGGAAAGATAGACAATCTCCTCCTATGTGATTTACAGACTCTACAAACCCATCAAAGGGTTGGCTATGATGTTGTTGTTGTTTATTGTCATTGAGTTGAACACAAATCATAGCAACCCTATGAACAAAAGACCTGAAGCTTTTCTATAACTTTCTATAACTATCATTTCTTAAAGTTCTTAAGAGTTTCCAGAGTCATGTTGTTTAGGAAGTAGGTGCCACTCCTGCTTTTATTATGAGCAGTGAGTATACGTAATACGATTTGTTTCATCTCTAAAATGGAGGTATTCTTAGGCGGGTTAGCCAATCTCATTTCTGTTCTTCAGTGTAAATTCAGTCATGTGATCCAATGGCAAAATCTTGGTTCCCAGGACAGGAAGGCCATACATACACAAGGGCTCTAACTATGACTTCCAGAAAGTGCAACCATGGGGCTCCCTGGGGAAGGCAAAGGTGGTGAAGTCTCTCATACTTTGGGCAGATTGTTGGGGGGGG